AAAAACCACTCCTAGTTACTTTTTCCAACTTTAGCTACCATTGAGAACAGACTGGCCAACTGTCACCCTGCATTCAAAGTCCTATCATTTATGGTCATGAAAGGCAGGAGTCTGGTGGCTTTCTGAAGCCTGATTTTTATTAAAAACCTTATATTATTATTAATTATTTTTTTAGCTGAGCTTGTCTAAATCCTAGGGCTCCAGGGAACTCCTTCTGGGACTACTAGCTATTAAGGTTCCTTATCTTTTCACCCACCCCTACTGTCTTTGAGCAGTTCAACTTATAGCTGTCATTCTTCATAAGATTTCATTTGAACAAAGAGCTCTGCAGTTAAATAAGGTTTAAGAACTATTGCTTTAGAAAAATCTATGAATGACCCAAAGCTGTATGAAAGTTAGTTTGACAGGTGAGAAATTAGAACCAAAAACTGACCTTAATAGAGTGGAATGATGGGCTAAAAACAACAATATAAATCTAATAGGGATCAATATAATGTCCTAAATGTAGCTTACAAAAGCCATTCACACACAATGTAACATTGAATACTAATTCAAACTGTCTTTATAAAAGTTTTTAGCATCATGGAAAAATGCTTATGGATATGTTAAGTGTAAAAAAGATGCAAAATTATACATAAAAAATTATATATACAGCATGATCTCAACGCAGACAGAAGTGCATGCATAAAAAAAGGTTAAGAGGAAATGATCACCATCAACACTTTCACAGATATATTCTGGACAATGGACTTAGATGATTTTTTTTATTAATGTGTCTGTACCCTTTTTAATTTTCTAAAATCAGTGTTGTACTTTCATGATCAGAACAACAACAAAACACTAAAAATATAAAGGGGCATTTGCCCAAGACCAGAAGGAGGGAGGCCTGGAATGACAGCAATTCATATACAAAAAGACCCAAGAATTTTAGTTATCTAGTAGACCCTTTGGAAACCCTGGTGGCATAGTGGTTAAGAGCTATGGCTGCTAACCAAAAGGTCGGCATTTCAAATCCACCAGGTGCTCCCTGGAAACCATATAGGGCAGTTCTACTCTGTCCTATACGGTCGCTAAGTCAGAATTGACTTGACAGCAATGGGTTTAGTAGACCCTTTGGAGTCCTGGTGGTGCAGTGGTTAAGAGCTCCGCTGCTAACCAAATGGTCAGCACTTCAAATCCACCAGATGCCCCTTGGAAACCCTATGGGGCAGTTCTGCTTTGTCCTGTAGGGTCCCTATGAGCTGCAACTGACTTGATGGCAATTGGTTGGGGGTTTTTTTTTGGTTAGTAGACCCTTAGGATCTAGAGTGTGACCCAGCTCCTACAAACTTTGGTTACATTATAAGTAGTATGCATCCAGAACAAGGGCTGCAGCCATACCACCATACTCGGCAATAGTCAAACCACACATGAGAATAAAGAGAACACCCAGGACATGAGGGGTCTGGAAGCAATGTCATGTGAAAAACAGCTGCAGGAACTAGAGATGTTTAGTGTAGAAACCACTTCATGAAGATGGTAATGAAGATGGACATGACCATCATCTTCAAATATTCAAGGGATATCATGTGGAAGAAGGATTTTGTTCAATCTGTGTTAACCACAAAAAGCAGAAATAGGACCAGTAAATTTAGGTAAAAATTAACTATTAGGAGAACTTTCTAGCAACTGAATAGAATGGATACAACACCTACATTTGCCTTTTCAACTTCTCAGACTGCTTTAGGAGTTCTTCATCATCATCTTCATGGTCTTCCAGTGCCAGATCTTCATTACCAGAGTCACTGTGGTCACTGTGTTCATCCTGTAAAATCAGCATCACACCCAAAGTTAAGCAGCATAAAATGTATCCTCAACTGAAACAGGATTTATAAACTTCTGTCCAAACACCTCATTCTAGGAAATTGTTTCTGATAAGATGCCAAACCTAGAATTTTCAAGAACTCAGACAAGAAAAAAAAGCTGAGGGCAGCAATACATGGAGTTTAATTATGATTACTTTGTTCCCTTCATACTCACCTCATCACTATCAAACTCATTATCATTTGGGACAAGCTGAAAGTCTCCAAATTCTTCCTCTTCACCTTCTTCTTCCCTAAAGTACAAACCAACAAATCAATAAGTCGTTGAAAGCAAACTACAAGCAGCTAGCTGAGTTAAGAATTTAATTTTTTTTTTATTATTGTACTTTAGATGAAGGTTTACAGAACAAACTAGGTTCTCATTAAACAATTAGTACATATATTGTTTTGTGACATTGTTTACCAACCCCACGACATGTCAACACTCTCCCTTCTCGACCTTGGGTTCCCTATTACCAGTTTTCCTGTCCCTTCCTGCCTTCTGGTCCTTGCCCCTGGGCTGGTGTGCCCCTTTAGTTTCGTTTTGTTTTATGGGCCTGTCTAATCTTTGGCTGAAGGGCGAACCTCAGGGGTGACTTCATTACTGAGCTAAAAGGATGTCCAGGAGCCATACTCTCAGGGTTTCTCCAGTCTCTGTCAGGCCAGTAAGTCTGATCATTTTCTGTGAGTTAGAATTTTGTTCTACATTTAGAATTTAAAATATTTTGTTAGTACCAATAATCTCTTCAAGAAACTGCAGTATGGTATCTTGCCTTTTTTTACCCTGTTTTTCACTAACTAAATGAAAGTATTATAATTTCCTTACTATGTAAATATAAGGCTCAAATCCCCTGCAAGACTCTCAGACAGGATATGAAGTCCCTAAGATGACCAATTATTGGTAAGCCCAGAGAACCTGATCACAGAATTTTATTAGAAGATTGGGCCTTCCCAAGATCCCATCAATCACTGAGACTCACCTGTCTGTTGGGAAAGAGCCTGAGCAAAGAGCAAGTGCTTCTTCCATTGGATCACCTGTGCTGCTCTCCTTCTCCTGCTTATTTAACTCTGATTGAGCCAGAGTGGAGGATTCTACAGCACAACAAGGAAAAGATTTGTCACCAAGGAATGACAGTTTTCGCTTCTTCTCCCAGCCATCTGAAGGCGTGCCAGCTCAATACAGTTCTAAAGTAAGCTCGCCAAAAAGAGCTCGCCATCCATTCACTAACAAATCCTTACTTAGTACTATATGCCAGGCACCATGGAAACAGTAGTGAGCGAAACAAAGACGCCAGCCCTCATAGAGCTTACATTTTAGCAGGTGTGGGACACAAGTAGAAAAAAATAAGTTAGCATTTATGAAATTTACTATGCACCAGGCACTGTGCTAAGCTTATACATATATTAACCATAAATGACAAATCACATGGCCAAAGCTAAAGCAGTCTTAAGTTGACACTTTATCACTCTAAGAAAGTGAGAGTTCTAACTGTCAGGCAGCTAGGCAGTGAATTCAACCTGCATGCACATCCCATCTGTTTTCTGAGAACTTTTCACCTGAGGGTAAAGGGCTTCTTTTCAGGACATTGACTTAAGGTATTTAGCTGTCATGAGCCTAGCATTCTCTTAGATATTTACCCTGAGAAGTGAATTTCCCTGAACAAAGATTCAGAAGCTCCTCCATGTTCTCTTTCTTGTCATTCTTCCTGGGTAGAGGTTTTTCAGCCTGGGATGTGAACTTCCCAGTACACAAATCCAACAGCTCATCCATGTTAGCGTCCATAGCATTCTCATCCATACTGGCCAATGGCAGTCGAGGCTTCAAAGCCTGGTACTGATTCCTGTGGTTCCTAACGTTTAAGAACCTACAAGCACCATGAATAGTTGGTGAGAATTTCTCCAGGCAAGAAGCAAAGTAGTGGGGGAGAACTTTGAACTTATTTCTGATACCAAAATCAGAAGCTGAATCCCAAACCAGAAAACAAGAGTCAAACTTTAGACTTGTGATGATCTAATGGAGGAGGGGGATGAGTTAGGTGAAAGGATAAATGCTATTTAAAAGGTAAAGGATCATTTCTGGCTTCAGATGATGCTGGAGTAGGACTTGGTGTTATGTCCATGCAGTGTGCCACAGGTCAATTAATTCTCAACCTTACCCAACAATCATAACATATAGGGTGGATACAGGGAAATTTGATGTACTTACAAGATCTCTGCATTTCAAATAAGGCAGAGATCGAAGGATCAGGATGCCAGCAAGTGCTATTTATGTTTTACTTTCTGGAGACTTAGTTCAAACTTGTAGAATGTAATACTAATCATCCGTACACCTTCTCTTTATCACAAGAGAAAGCACAGATGGAGTGACAGAAACTCACTTTATTTTTAACCAAAATTAAGCAGTACCCAGCGCCATTCCCACCCATAGAAACATGAAACTACCTACCCATCTGCATCCAACAGTTGGCTCTGAGTGTCATCTTCTAAACAGAACTGGAAGTCTCCTGCTCCTAGGAAAAGTGTCTTAGGCTCTGGGGAGGCGTTATACAGATCCTGGGAATCCTCTATGGGAAGTGAAGGCTCAGACAGCTTCCCTGAACTCTGGCACAGAACAAAAACAAAACATTTTACAAATGTCATTCACTGTCATGACAACAACAGAAGTTGCTATTTGTAATATTCAATCTACTCTTAGGCAATTGCTAGTGAGGAGGACAATGCATAGCCAAGAACAGCATAAAGAAAAATACGTCCAAGGAACTCAGAGGACTGGATGAAGATTGTTTTTAATACACAAAGGGGGTGGATTTTTTAAACTGGACATACATAAGCTCAGTGCCATTGTGGTGGGAGTTGGTTGGCTTGGACACACTTTATTTAGCAATGTGGGAAGCAAAGGAGGAGATTAGAAAACCATTACCATCTTACCTTAGAAGCTGAGCTGACCAAACTGGCTCGAAATAGCCCCGGGGAAGGAGATCTGAATCCTCCTGCTGTAGGGAAGAAACTGGTCCCACGACCTACTTGTCTGTTGCAAGGCTGATAGGATGGAATCGTGGAACCAATCAGCTCAAAGCTGCTATTATGACTGCTCTCTTTTGTCAGCAATGAGCATGAATCATCTTCATCTAAAGAGAGAGAAATAACTTTTAAGTGAGTGATTCCAAAAATGAGGTGGATTTGTTTAGGAGAAAGAGATGATAATGAAACTGTCAGGTAAAATTTATAGGCAAACTCCTCAATTGGTATGTTCTAAAACATTAAGTTAAAGGTAAATTATAGTACTAAGATAGCATTATATAATCAGGGTTTATCACTCTGAGCTAAGTGACACCTGAAAGTTCCCTTCTTTCTCTAACCTGCCTAATGCCATTGATTACCTTCTCCACTATCCAGTCAATTACACATCTTCCTTTGATCTACAATTGATAGAAATATTTCCTGGTTCACTCAATCAACACGCACTCACAAAGGACCTACTAGGTGCCCTTGATCAACTATGAAGAAACTGCATATAAGTTTTTGAAACATGGACCAAGAAATTTTTTCTAATTATTAAATTCCTATCATTGCCTCATATAACACTGGAACGTCACCAGGATTCAAAAAATAAAATCTCACAGAGTCCTTAGTATTAAAGTTGGAGGACCAGAAAAAACTCAAGTTCTACATAAGAGTTACTACTCACCCAGTTTGCTAGGCCTTTTGCCTGAGTTTTCATCTGTTTCTGACTTTTCTTCAGAAGCAAAGTAACTACAAAATAAGAAAGTATTTGAGTATCTGCTCCCGCTTCTAGCCAGAAGAGCATATCCAAGGGAATCTTACTCTTCCTTAGAGAAAATTCACTTACCCCATCTTAGAAGAGTTGTCCTTAAATAGAAGGAAGGTAGAATCTGATGAGAGAGGCTTGGGAACAGAGAGAAGGCCAACTGACTTGCCACTTTCACTACTGCCATCATTGTTTTCTTTATCCATTTCTTTCTCATCTTTGGTTTCTATTTCTTCACTATTAAGAAGGAATTCTTCAATCTTTACCAATTATGCCACCGAAAACAAAATAATACAAGCCAAAAATTTTTAAAGTAAATACAGTGTTAACCTGAAATATATTTTGATTACAGGTCACATCTTAAATCTGAAAAGGTAAACCTGAAGGAAGTTTCTGACCATTATCATCAACATAATTTTCCATATCACTTCTAGAGCTCTCTTATACTTATTTTACCTTTTACTCTCCTAATATTGCTACAAGATTATAAAGGAAGACTGGATTATCATTTTATTGAAGCAATAAGAGATTAAATGACTAGCCTGAGATTGCAGTAGGATTACTGACCTCAAACCAACTAGACTGTGATGTGCTGCCTACCCTCAGATGTTGCTTTCTTCTTCCTCTACCCACAGTTAAGTATTAACTACCTCTTTCAAGTGACCCCAGTATGCAAACAAGAAAGCTTTTCTTTTTTTCTCATACCTAGCAATCTTATCACCTATCTTCCCTAGGTGGAAAACAATACTATGGAACAAGGGTAAGAGATCCTTCAACAAATATTCTCATCAATGTAGAATGAAATCAACTCAGGAAGGTCTCTGCCTGGAATTTTTTCCAGACCTTAACCTGGTCAAAGTTAAGACCACTTTTTATTCTGAGAAGAGAAACATAAACAATAGACAGAGCTAAAAGTCTCTATCAATACAAAGCCGTTCCAATATTAGCATTATGTTAACTAACAGGTAGCAGCCAAGGCTATGGCTCTGGGAACTTTAACTGTACTAAGATCTACACACATAGGGGGCAGCTACCTTCATCTCCACCCGTGAAATCTTTTATACAATTGAATATGTTTATTCTACTATTGTTCAAATCTGACTTTCTTTTTCCCTATTCATCATAACTTGGGAGCAGATATTAAAAAATTAAGTAAATTACACAATTGTCAGAGACCTCCTGATTGCCTTCTTCCTCCTCTTCCTCTTCCTTCTCCTCTTCTTCCTCTAATTCTTCCTCTTCTTCCTCTTCCTTCTCCATCCCCTCTTCTCCATCTTCCTCAGATTCATCTGTCGTTTCTTCTTCCTCCTCTTCCTCCTCCTCCTCAAACCCATCTTCATTATCTAATTTAAATAATGCTTGGCGCTTTTGACGTTCCTCAAGTCTTCGGAGTTTCATTGCCTCTTGCAGTTTAGCTTTCAGCACTTGAAGCTTTTCACCTGAACAGTAACATGTAGAAATGCATTAGACATAATCATAGACTACATCTTACAATAATGTAAGTATGCATTTTAGGCAACTCCAGAGTGTTCCAGTCACATCCACCCCTAAAAATTAGAGACTTTACTACTCTCGGCTTTTGCTACTTTAACAAATGGGGATTATTATGAATTGAGGTGTAAAAGAGAATGCCTATAATTAATGTCCTACACCCTGGGATAATATACTACTCAGAGATTATAAAATTATTGTAACAAAGGACAAAAATAATGGAAGAGAGTCTTCAAAAGTCTCTGGCTCAGATGCCAGGAAAACATTGGTAAATTTATCTACATTAAAGAAAGAAAAACAACTCAAGAGTAAAATGGACAAAAGATATGAACTTGCAGTTCACAGAAAAATAAATACATATTAATAAATAAATCAAAAATAATGCTTAACCTCACTTCTAAGTAAAGAAATACAAATCAAAATAATGAGATACCATTTTCCACATATTAGTTTGGCCAAAATTAGAAGATTTAATAATATCCATTACCGACAAGAGGAAACAAGAACACTTAACATACTGGGATTTAGACTGTAAATTGGCGCAACCTTTTTGAAGGATAATTTGATGATACATATCAAAATCTGATTCAATGATTACACTGCAAGGAATTTTCTATCCAGGTATACCAATATATAGGTACTTGGATGCAACATTGTATGAAATAGCCAAAAACTGGAACAAACAAGATGTCCATCAATAGGAGTATGATTAAATAAGTCATTTCTTATCCACACAATGGAACATTATACAGTTGTTAAAAACAGTCAAAAGCAATATAGTAAGGCTTTTAAGTATCTGATCTCTGGAATTAGTCTGGTTCTACCACTTACTAGCTGTGTACACATAAGCAAGTTGCTTAAAGACTCTATCAGTTTCCACGTATACAAAATGAGAACACTAGTATTACCTACCTCAGAGGGTTGTGACAGTTAAGTGAGGTAATGCATTAAGGCACCGAGTGCAGTGCTTGGCAGAGAGGAAGTGTTCAATTTCATGCACTGACACACACACACACAGAGGTAGATGCATGTAAATTGTCTTAGAATAACACACAAGAAATTATTAATAGTTACTTTTGGGAAGACTTATTTTTCATTTTATACCCTTTTTTCCAGTGCTTTTGTTTTTTTCTGTGTAATATTACTTGTATTTTTGGTGTTGGGAAGATGGGGGACAACAGACCTGTCCATAATACATTGTATTAGAAAAAGATTACAAAACAGTGTGCATGGTATGATTGCATTTTAATTTTTTAAAAAATATATACATAAACATATATGCAAAGAAGAGAGTTTAGAAGGACAGATACATGAAAATGGTAATAGCAGTTGTCTCTGGTAGAGGGCTGTGGATGTTTTTTGTTTATTGTATGTATTCTCTGTAATAGACATATATTGCTTTTTACAGTAAGACAAATGTTATTTTAAGAAATAAAGCCATCTTGCCCACCACACACCTTGAGGCAATCTTACACATGAATCATGCAAGAGGTATTACAAATCCAGTTCCAAAGTGCCAAAGAAAAAGATTTCATAACTTTTCACCATAGCGTCTTCAGTAGCCAAAAAGACCTGTCAGAGTACAAAGCAAAAGGCAAAAAACTGTGGACTCAAATACCTGGCTTGGTGTAGCTTCCTCCATCCAGCTTTTCAGCTGCCAAAGTCACAGGCACCACATCTGCCTTTAGCTCTTCCTTTCCATCCATGCCCACATCTTTCACGATGACATTCACATTCACCGTCTGACTGGCCCTGGGTTTGGCTGCTGGACAAGCATGCTTCCAGAAACGCTGTTTCAAGGCTTCCAGTTCTAAACCCAAATGCCAACGAGTTTGTTAGTTTGCAATGCTCAAACACTTTCCTTTAAGATTCCAATTAAGAATTATAAGCTAAGTTTTTTAGCTCAAGAAAGTTGCAGGGAAAAAACACAAAGAGAAACCAAAAATCCCTTTGCTACTAATGCCTTGTCTCAAATTCACACAACTGTAACTCATATGGACTACTACAGCTGTTCTTCCTTGATACGTTTAAAAAACCATAGGCTTTTTAAACAGAAATTTACAATGGAAGTCTCTAAATATGTGTATTAAATTCTAAAAAATGTATTAAACTGGTAGAAACAAATACCATAATTTTCAACTATTCAAGGGCTTAATTTTTCATGGGTTTCAGTCTCCTCTCTTTTTATTCCCTATTTTGAATACTTCACTATTGATCAGCAATCTTACTAAAGATAGGCAAGCTTTTTAAAAAAAAAAAGGAAAAAGAAAACCAATCCAGTCACTAATGCAACTCTGCACCAAGACTGGGAAAAGTTTTCTTGGTGAGAGAAACCGTTATACAAGAAAATCCCACTTACTGGTAGTTACTGAAACCACAAACCCAACTTACATACAAGTGGGAATATATATACTGAGAGAGGTAAGATCAGCCGTTCAATGGCTACACGACCTTTCCCCCTCTTCCCCAATACTATTGCTTAGAATTTTCTTCGTTCTCCCTTAGCCAGCTGCTGCCTGGCACCATCCCCTACTCACTCTGCCTAACACATCATACCGTAGTGGGATCTGTTGTGAGAGTTGACAGCTATAAACAGAAAGGAAAGAAAAAGGATAAAAACTTCTTTGGGGGTTGAGGGACTCTGGATATTTTTGTGTGGCCTTCTCCTTTTCCATGATAAAATTTCCAGGATACTCTGAGTTTGGTTGTCTTTCTAAAATGCATTTGAATCATACTTTAGTAGCTTTGTGATAAGCATCTACTGGTACGTGTAGTTTTTTTTTCCCTAGAGGGACTTAGCAGAAAAAGAAAAGACTGGAAGGAAACCTTTTTATTCTGAGTCCCTTACGTTATTAGCAGCAAAAACCGAACTCCAGAGTTGTATGTTTACATTACGAACAAGAGTAGGGAGACAAGCTATAAATCTGCCTCCTGTTTTATAGTGGTCCAATAAGGTATTAAGGTTAGAAGCAACAGGTGGTGGCAGTGGAAAGGGAAAATAAATAGGTAGGTCATCATTGGTGCCAAGAGAATAAAAGAAATGGGATGGGTAGGGAGATTACTTGGGACCTAAAATATTAGTGAGGCAAGAGGTGCCTTGGTTCATATCTGCAGAAAGTTAGAACCTTCAAAATTTCTCATGCTCCAACCCACTGGAGCACCCATTTTCCTTGTCCTTTACTGCATGACTCAACCACCACACTCCTCATCCTGGAATCCTCATTCAAGCTCCTCTCCCTCCACTTGTGTTCTCCCAGAACACTTCATCCCCTCTATAACTGAAAAGTCTCTGTCCCAGCTCAAATCTTCACCAGTAGCGGTTCTAAGACTGTTCTCGTTCTCATTGCTCGTAGCCTGGAAAGTAGAGGAAAACAGAGCAGGGATTATCTCCTATCCTATTGCAGAGAACAGCAGTAATATATTTTTGGGACTCCATATTTTAAATCTACATGCATTTTCTCATGGAAACCTTACTTTACATGCAGATAAGGAAACTGAGTTTTTCCCAATGCCTTTCTTAACCCTTTCCAATGTATTTGCCACACTAGCCGCCAGACTGAACTTTGGCCTCTGCTCACCTCTTGTCACCAATCCCCTTGCAATTTTCACTTCAACCAGTCAGCTTTTTCTTGTCTCTGTACCTTTTGCAGGTCTGTCTCCTCTACCAAGAAAGGTTCCCTCACCTCTCTGCCTTAGGGTCTCCTACTCAGCTTTCAGGACTCAGTTCAGGTATCAGCTCCTTTCAGAAGCTTCCCTGACTCCCTGGTTCAAGTGAAGTACCCCTCTTTTGGGCTCCCAATGCATCCACCACAAGTGTATACCTTGACCACAGCACTTACCAGCCACTATTATAATGGTCTGTTTGCCTGTCTGTCAGTCCTACTAGACTTTAATTGAGAGCAAGGACTATGTCTTACTTGTATACGTATATAGCACCTAGCAGTGCTAAATAAAAGTTTATTGCATAAATGAATGCATTGACACTCAGCTTCATGTATATCATGGATAGGCTGGTCTGGGAACCCAACTGTCATATCAAATATTATTTCTAAAGGAAAACATGTTCTGAGTTCAAATAAGTGCCTACTGTGTTCCAGGCACTGTGCTACAAATCCCTGAACAAACCAAGTGTAATGTTGGAGAAATTATCTAACCTAAGTCTCATTCTCTTCATTTGCAAAGTAACACCTGGGGCTATGAGAATTAATCTGTTGCCCGAGAGTTGATTCTGACTCATAGTGATCCTATAGGATAGAGTAGAGCTGCGCCATAGGATTTCCAAGGCTGAAATCTTTACGGAAGCAGACTGCCACATCTTTCTCTTGCAGAGCAGCTGGTGGGTTTGAACCGTCAACTTTTTGGTTAGCAGCCAAGCACTTAACCACTGTGCCACCAGGGCTCCTTATAAGAATTAACAAAGATGACTAATAAAGAATCTAAGAGTGTCTATACTGGGTACTCAAAAAAAAAGAAAAAAAAAAAAGCTTCTTCCCTTCCCTATCTGTTAGTCTGGAAATTGTTTAGATAACTTCTAGTTCCATTATTTCCATATAACAAAACTTTCCCTCAGTGTTCTAGGCAATAGCTCATTCTCATGCTTCTTTGCTAATGGAGCGATCTAGTTCTGTTACACAATCGCTTCACCCCCACCTCCTGCTCTGGTCAAACCAACTTACACATCCCCCCAACATGCACTGTGCACAGCTCTTTCTGTCCCTTCCAGGAATGTCCTTCTCTCCACCTCCAAAAAGTCATCCATTCAATCAACAAAGACTCAGTGAGCAGAGTTTACATGCCAGATACTGTGGCTGACAGCACCTGCCAACAATAAGTTGTTTAATGAAGGAGTCTTGATATAAACAATTTCACTAATAGTAGAAACAGCAGCCACTATTTGAATGCTTCTTTATGCTAGCCATTTGTATGCATTATTTCAGTATATATTCACTGTAATCCTATCTGTGAGCCAGATAGTACTATTTTAGCTTTTTAAAAAGATGACTCAGAGGTCAAATAACATACCAAAGTTAAACACTAAGTAACAAAGTCCAGATTTAAACCCTGTTCTGGCTATACAGCCGAAGCTTAACCACGCTGCCTCAACACAGAGGAGGGAGCACCAAACTCTATCCAAGAGATGCAAGGAAGTTTACTAATGTGGTAATACTTGAGTTCAGTCTTGAAGTCTCATTCATTTATTCATTCATTTACTAAACATGAATGTCCACCATGTGCCATCCACTGTGGAAGCACTAGGGATAAAGCAGGTACAAAACAGAATAAGATCCCTACTCATAGTATAAAGGGGAAAGCAGTGAACAAGTACTTACATACACTTACTCTCCAAGTGGGGCCCTGGTGGCACAGTGGTTAAGAGCTCGGCTGCTAACCAAAAGGCCAGCAGTTTGAATCCACCAGCCGCTCCTTGAAAACCCTATGGGGGCAGTTCTACTCTGCCCTATAGGGTTGCTGTGAGTTGGAATTGACTCAGTGGCAACAGGTTTGATTTTGGTTTACTCTCCAAGCATTCCTTTAACCATCCATTTGGAGTCCCTGGTTAGTGCAAACAGTTAAGCACTCGCCTGCTAACCAAAAAGTTGGCAGTTTGAGTCTACCCAGAGATACCATGGAAGAAAGTCCTGGCAATACACTTCTGAAAAGATCAACCACTGAAAACCCTATGGAGCAGTTATACTCTGACGTACATGGAGTGGCCATGAGTCTAAACCTACTCCGTGACAAGTGGTTTGGTATTTTCTTTTAATGTAATTTATCCTTCTTCTGAACTTCCATTGGACTTTATTCTAAATATTTCTTTTAGCAAAGAATACTTTTCTTTTTTCTTCCCATTATTTAACATTATCTTGCATATAGTGGACAATATTAGTTGAATGAGTGTAAAAAAAATTCAATTTTGCAGACAATTTACTGAATCAAAATGTTTCTCTTCAGCTGTGATAAACTGAATGTTTTAAAAAATATCTTAATAAGATTTGACACACACCCTCCCAGACTAGAACAGCAATGTACCTCTTTTGCATATCATCTACCTATAGGCTTCCATTTCAAACAAGGCTTAGATCATTCGGATACCCTGCCAAATTTATTAAAATGGGGTTCTACCTGTATCTGGTACATCTGTAGATTAAGATCATGTGTGGCTATCAGTTTCTCTTGTGTTCCCTGTCCTCCACAGTGGCAAATAATTGAAAGCTGCCAGGAAAAATTGTGAAGAGACACCCCACAATTCAAAGGATTACCTCTGTTAGTTTCAGGTTCATCAAGTATCACAAAGGATTCTTCATCAGCACCCAGCCGAGGTTTAATGGAAACATCTACTCCCAGTTGCTTAAGTCTATCCAGAGTGAACCTTCTCACTTTTTCAGGTGGCACAGCTGCTGCTGATTTTGTTTGCTGCCTGGGCTCTTCCACTTTACCATCTGCTTCTTCTGTTTTTTTCAGGCCTTCTTCTCCTTCCAGGGCATGAGGTTCAGGTGCCACAAGTCCTCCAGCCTGATACTCTTCACCACCCTCCTTGGTTCCTAGGAAGCTGGGTTCCTTTTGTTCCACTGAGCTGCCCCCAGAAGCATCAGTTTGTTTCTGTTTCTCCTGAGTTTCTGGCTCTTCACTTCCCACCAAATCCTTACAGCAAGACTTATTTGATCCAGCAGTGTTTTGGGGTTCCTTTAAAGCTTCAAGGAGTGGGTTAATCTCCATTTCATATTCTGTGCCTGTTGCCTGCTCAGAACTTTTGCTATGGGAGTCACTGTTCATTTCAGTTGTATGTGCAGTGTTTATGATTTCTTTGTTATGGCTTGGCTGATACTTAGATGACCTAGAGAAGGGAAAATGAGCTGGACTTGAAAATTATCCTAAATGTGAAACACTCTCTTCCCACAGCACATAATGAATCAATTAAATCAGTTTTAAGGAAGTGAGGAATCTGAATTTTTTGTGCCAGATGTTTGCTACAAAACTGAATGCTTAATAACATTATAATCACAAGGAAAGCAGGTTCTTACTTCAGCAGTGCCATGCCATTTCCCCAGCAGGTGGGTCGGGGCTTACGTTTGAAGAAATCGTGAATGGTTTTATTCTCAGGCATATGATATGGAAGATTCAGTGCAGACTCTATAATATGGAACAAAACAAGTAAATACAAATATTGTACATTGTGAAATGTCACTTCATATACAGCTAACTAAACAGTTAACCAAGGAGCTAAGTACAAAAGAAGCTCCCTGAAGACCAGTGGCTTTTAAACCTGTGGTGAAATCAAAATGATCCAAGAAGCATTTTAAAAATATAGATTCTTGGACCCCATTCCAAATCGACTGAATTAGGCCTCTGTGGCACCTAAGAATTCATATATTTGAAAAGCTCCCAAAGGAATTATGATGCAGCTAATCCATAGACAACCACTAAAAAACTTACTCCTTCCCTCCACTATAGTTCTGGAAATATGCTCAGTTTACACTAATGTTCCATGGACTCTAGAACAATGTCCATTCACCAAGATAAATTCTAAACTTGTTATAATCCAAGCTCTTATGAGGAGTGTTTAAAAAAAAAAAAACCCAACATTGAAGTTAAGCTTACAAAGAAACATTGTGATTTGCCTTAAAGTTTACTGTACTGGCTTGCATTACCTCGAATAAGGCGCTGAGTCTCACTATGCAGTTTTTTTAATGCTTCCTTACTTAGCTTGGCTGCCGTCCTTTCCTTAAAGGAAACAGAAAGGGAGATTACATTAATGGGTATTATCCAGAAACACAGATATTCATCCCTCAAGAGTTTGCTCTCTCCAAGAAAAGAGGATGGAGAGAAAACAATATAGCATTAACAAACTCAATACAATATAAACTCAAGGGGCTCATTTATTTGCAAGTCTCAGAGAGTTAATTCAATCCAATCCATATGTGTATCCATACTATGTACAAAGCAATATGTTGGGTAGCAGGAAAATATTATGATAGACAAGATAAAATATTTATCCCCAAGAAGTCCACAATCTCCCGGGGAAGGAGCTCAGAGGCTACATGATTACTACTACCAAGGGCTTTACCTCACCTTCCTCACAGAGCCGTCTGATAACTCATTCTCTTCTTCAAATGAATAGAACCCACTCTCCAAAGTTGGTTCCTTTTTCTAAAAGAGAAAATTTATCAGTATGGACAAAAACTAAAGTGAAATAAGATGATGTTTCTCATTCAAAGACTGCTTTTGTACTCCAACATCACATCATGCTATATTAAAAATAAAACAATAATTATCCAATAAAAATGTTTATACACACAGCATCCTATAATGCCCAGAAAACAAATCACATGTGTCAAAAAGAGTTTGAACCCTCATTTCTTATATCTCTCTTACATCTTTCCCTAGGAAGGCCAATGATTCCAAAGAGCTAAAGAAATCTTAGGAAGAACAATTATGCTTCTAGAAACTCAGAGAAGCAATGCTTTGACTGATGCCTCTCTTCGATTCCCTTCCTGAAACTCTATAGGGTTCATTTCTTACAGCCCATAGGATTGTAAAATTTACTTCTCTGCTCCATTATTTACCTGCTTCTTATCACAACATAAAGGATCTTACTTTTCTTCCAATGTTCCTAAAAGGGCAATAACAAAATACTAGTTTCCAAACAAGTTAGCATGTCTGTCACTTGTACTGCCAGTTTCCCAAATTAACAGCTGAAAAAAAACTTAAATCAATTGACATGTGTTAAAATAAAAATTAAGGTTGCAACTATAAATCAAAAAACAATGCAAAGGTTAGAAGCAGTTGGTTAGCTCTTATTGCAATCATCCTTTACTTGCCTTGTGCTTTTTTACTTTGTTTTTCACAGCTGCCCTTATTGATTCTAATGACTCTTCATCTTCCAATGAAGAGTTATTTTCCTCCTCCAGTCCAGTTTCGAAAAGGTCTTTATCCACAAGAAGACAGCCACTGTCACTAAATGGCTGTTTCACATCCTCTTCCTGGATAATGTATAAAGGAAAAACAGAATCCAATCATTTTAGAATCCAGTATTTCAAAATATCATATGGCAATTTGGATCAGGCCAGAAAAAGCCCTTATTTCATCAGTAGTCAAGTATATGGCATTCTAGAACAATTCTCAATGGTTCCGAATTCAGTTATTCTTTGAAGTGCAAGCTGTGATTTTATGCACTGTCCAAAATTAAATTAATAACCAGTAACTATTTTTTTGAAAAGTCAATTAAAAACTTATTAAAAATCAGTTGCCATTGAGTTAGCTCTGACTCATGGTGACCCCATGAGTGTCAGAGTAAAACTGTGCTCCATAGGGTTTTCAATGGCTGATTTTTTACACATAGAGCAACAGGCCTTTCTTCCAAGGTGCCTCGGGTAGACTCAAACCTCCAACCTTTCGGTTAGCAATCAAGCACATTAACTACAGTAAAACCTGCAGAAGCCACAACCTGTGTAAGGCAGAAACCTATTAGAGAAGGAAAACTCAACTATTTTCCATCAAATCGAGTAACAGAAAAGTGGTAAGAATGTGCCCTATCAAAGGGAGAAAACTTGGGAAACCCGGAAAAACAAGGCAGTTGCATCGAAGTCTGGCTCTTACAGGTTTCACTGTATTTGTACCACCCAAGGAGTCCAAACACTTATTAACTAGTTTATAAAACTTGAGGATGTTTTTTCTCATTAGGAGACAAGATGTCTAACTGACGGACCCATGAAAAATCCTCCTTTGAAAGTTAATTTTCATCCATGCAGAAGCAACGAAGAATTACTCCATGTGTTTTACAAAGAAAATCAGAAACCCATTTATCTGGAGGTCGCCTCTGCATATCCAATATGAAGAATGAGACCAACACATTTTAAATCACATACCCCAGTATTCCCAATGCAAAGCAGTCAACTCAAAGCTATATTCTGAGCATAGGAACAATCTCAAGAACTAAAACCAAATTTTTCTAGAATGTTAACCTGCCTTAGAAATAGCAAACTATTCTTTAAAATGTACCTCATTTTTTGTTTCCTTCTTTTGTAGCCACCTAATTTTTTCCATCTTTTTTTCTTCTTTCTCAAGTCTTCTCTTTGATTTTACTTTTGCTTTTCCTCCAGTTCCTTCTTTATCACGTACAGATTTTTTGGAAATCCTTCTGTCAACCGTAAAGTCCACAGACTTTTCAGATTGGAGATCAAGCTCTAAGCAAGGTGTTGCTTGGGTTTCAAGATTTTTCTGATATAAAGACCCCTCAGTGTCACTCTCATCACTGTCGGCCAGACTTTTGTAAATTCTTCGGATGTTTCCATGTTTGCCAGCATATAAATTCTCTTTATCTTCCTCCTCTGTATTGTCATAAGTCGTTTTCTCTGGAGAGGCATTTATGTCCTCTGTTTCAGAATCACTGTCTGGTAGCACCTTCCTGCTTTTCAATTTCTTACTCACAAAAATCTCTTCATCTGAATCTGAAGGAAACACAATTTTTAAAAAATTCATCCAATCATTTAGCCTACCTTAAAAACATTCAATTATACAAGTGAGTATTACCTGTGAAATTCTGTAACAAAGAAATAATTGTAGCAAAGCAAATCTAAAAATACATTTTGAAAACATTTTCCCTGGAAAAAATGTCTCTTACTGAGAAATGTACTTATATATATATATTTACAATGTGTAAAGTTGTTCTAATCCTTCTGACAAGTGTTAAAAATTCTCTTATTAACCAACCAGAAGGAACACATTCACCCAGGCAATGTTGTAACTTCTAGACATTTTATGCATTCAATAATATAATAGAAATGGCTATTTTCAAAAAGGTACACACACTGTTAATTTGCTTTTATAATAAGTAAAACAAATAATAAGATTAGGGCATTAATAATTTAATAAATCAAGAAAATAGCGAAATTAATCCAATTCTTTTACAACACAGGCTCTCACTTTCTATTCCTAAAAATAAAAGTACTGAGTATTACAAACCTCTTTCACTCAAGGCCCCAGTTGTTTCACAGCTGCCTTGTCCACTGTCTGAAGGACTGTTTCTTTCTCCTTGTGAAATGAGTTTTAGATCATTGAGTTCTAGGTGAACCTAGAAAATGTGAATATACTTTGCATTAGCCAGCAGGTGACAGAATGCTCTAAGCACATAATGACACAGAAATCATCATGGAATCATCAGGAAGGAAATAAGGAACTAATACAATGGTTCGATGAAGGGATGACACTAAGAGTTACTAGACAAAAAAAAAAAAAAATTAATTGGTCACCTTTGGGTTATGCTATAGAACCAACTGGCAGCACAGTGGTTAAGCACTCGGCTGCTAACCAAAAGGTCAGCAGTTGAAATCCACCAACCATTCCGTGGGAGAAAAATGTGGCAGTCTGCTTCTGTAAAGATTACAGCCTTGGAAACCCTATGAGGCAGTTCTACTCTGTGCTAAATGGTCACTATGAGTTGGAATGGACTCGATGGTAACAGGTTTTTTGCTTATAGAACCAATAGTTTACTTTGAATAATGGTAAAAAAATGAAAAGAAGCATGTGTTATGCTTTTCCCGTGTGAACTGTTCCTCAGTGTATCCAAATGATTGATGAGGGAAATTTCTCTTTAGAGAAATATCCTAGCTAATCAATGAAAAGGAAATAATAGAATTAGACTATCAGAATTTTAGCAACCTCCAATCAAATAACAGACCTAGGCAATGATCAATGGCCGCTAACATCACAAAAAGAGAAACAATCAGTCATTATGTGCCACCTGACTGAAGTACCCAACACCACCCATGAAGCATTCTTGCCAAAACAATCAAATCTGAGTCTGATCAGGTTTAGAGAATCTGTCTCTAGATCTAACTACCCATTTACAGGAGACAGAGGAATATGTTAAATAACACCAGAGATGCAATTCAGAATGTGAGAAACTCTACAGAACAAACTATATGGTTTATCTAACGAATAAATTGCAAGAAAAAAGAGAGGAAGGGGAACCTATATGTTAGTGTTAAGATACATAACAAGAATATAATGAAATTAATCCAATCCACTTACAACACAGGCTCCTGCATTCTATTCCTGAAATTAAAAGTACTGAATATTACAAATCTCTTTCATTCAAGGTCCCAATTATTGCACAACTGCACAGCAATATACAGACTTTGTTTGGATCCTGATTTTAAAAAAACTGAAAAAAAAAGTATGCATCAAAGCAATCTGAAAACTGACTTCCTATTGTGTGCCACCGAGTCGATTCCGACTCAGTGACCCTATACGACAGAGTAGAACTGCCCCATAGGGTTTCCAAGGAGCAGCTGGTGAACTGGAACTGCTGACCTTTTGGTTAGTAGCCAAGCTCTTAACTACTACGCCACTCACAATGACTAGCTATTTAGTATTAAGCAGTAATTCTAAATTTTTTAGGTGTGGTAATAGTTTTGTGGGGTTTTTTTAGAAAGCCATTGTCTCTTAGAGATGCATACAGAAATATTTGTAGATGAAATGATATCTAGGATTTGCTTCTAATTAATCTAGTGAAGGGGGAAGTGTGTGAGGGTATAGATGAAACAAGATTTGCCATGATTTGATAATTGTTGAAGTTAGGTGATGGATTCCTTATACCAATCTCCCTATGCTTGTCTAGGTTGGAAAACTTCCAAATAAAACGTTTGGAAAAGTCACAAATAAAAAAACCTAAGGAGTTTAAAGACAGAAGAAAATATTCTTTGATGGTTACCAGGATGGGGAGGGAAGGAAAGGAGAATTTACTAACTAGATAGTAGACAAGAATCATTTTAGATGAAGGGAAGGACAACACACAATACAGGGGAAGTCAGCACAACCGGACTAAACCAAAAGCTAAGAAGTTTCCTGAACACAACCAAACACTTCGAGGGACAGAGTAGCAGGGTAAGGCAAGGGGCTGCCAAAAAACTCAGTACCCACCCACCCAAAAAACCCATTGCCTTTAAGTCTCCGTTCCGACTCATAGCGACCCTACAGGACAGAGGAGAACCGCCCCCGTAGGATTTCCAAGGCTGTTAATCTTCACGGGAGCAGACTGCCACATTTTTCTTTTGCAGAGCGACTGGTGGGTTCGAACCGCCAATTAAAAAAAAAAAACTCAGTAATCAAGATAAATAATATTTTAATGCATACAATATTTTTAAAAAAATCAAATTGGCAAACTACGGCTCGCGGGACAGCCACCTGTATCGGAACCAGAGTCATGATTAGGTGGAGTCGGGCAAAGTCCTGCAAGTTCAGAGTTGGATCTTGCCTTTATTTAGAATTTGACATTTTGTTCATTATCAAATATGAAGTTTTTGCATTAGTTTTTTTTTAAGCATTGCTTTAAAAATATTATTTGTTTTGACTGCTGAGTTTGTTGGTGCCCCCTTCAATTTGGCGCCCAAGGCGGGTCCCTCACCCTAGTCCTGGCCCCAGAAAATACACAGGTCAGAAAACTAATGTGGTTTCCACGCCCAACTTCGCCAGCTACCAGACGGATTACTTCCTCACTCTGGGATCAGTCGGAAAAGGAGGGGGTCAGAGCGGGATGACCTCGAAGACGTCTTCCAGATCCACTCTCTTATTCCCCAACACCCCGCTGCCGCCTCTATTTATCGAGAATCCTGCCCCACACCCCAGCAGCCCAGTTCGGCCTGGGCCTTGCTCTTTTGGGACGCTGTAGGAGGAAGGCCTCCTGCGGCAGGAAACGCGCCAAAGGGGAGGGCAGGTGTGACGGATGGGATGAGGAGGGGCACGGGAGCTGGCAGCGCGCACCGCGAACACGAGGAGCTACACAACCAGGAGAGCAGAAGCGCGGGAGAGCCAACACCCCGACAGCGGAGTCCCTAGCCCTCCCGGCCGAGTCCGCGGGGCCGCCTGGGCTGGCGCGGTGCACGCCGGGAACTGTAGTCCTCCCACCCAGGGCAAGCCGCCTTTGCCGGTCTCTCTCCCTGTCAGACCCCTCGGAGCCGGGCATCCGCAGTCCCGGTTTGAGGGATGTGCATATGCTCACCTCAGAAACTACCTCGCCCGTCATGATTTCTGCTTCCCCAGGGCCCCGCCTGCCTCCCGTTCCCTCAGCCTGGGTGCAGCCGCTCGCGCCGTCTCCAGCTCCGCAGAGCCGTTCGATCTTTCGCGCCCAGCCGGCGTGGAAGCCCCACCTCGATGATTTGCACCAATCCAAAGGAGGCTTTCTAACTGAGGCCCCGCCCCAACCCCATCCTACCAATCATGAAGCGCCTCCCGGCCGGCTCCACAAGTATAATTTGGGTTGGGTTGGCGGGTCCTGGATGCTGTTGTCGTCTGAGCCTGTGAGAGGCCCGAGGTACACTGGATATGGGGAGTCGGGTTCTCTGGTTTTGCAAGAAGGTACCACGCGAGTGGTGGTCTTTGATCTTTGGCCCCTGCATAACTCGGCAGCTCCTATCTAGCGCAATCTGAGGAGTGAGCCCTCTAGGTGGGAAGTGAACTGGGACAGGGTTCCTAGGCACCCAGGATTGTCCTGTACCTGAATCTTTTCAGGGGGAGTCCCAGGCCCCTGTGGGGATTTTCTCCAGTTACTCCATACGGAACAGCAAGATCTTGTCTGCCCCTTCTTGTACATGACACACTATTGAACATCAAAAAAGAAAAACCTTCGTGGATTCCTCAGATACCAAAAAATATCCTTGCTTGCTTGTTAGCTGCCGTGGAGTCCCTCTGACTCATGGCAACCCCCTGCATAACATAACTAATGCTGCCCAGTCTGTGCCATCTACATGTGACCCATAAGGTTTTCACTGGCTGATTATTGGAAGAAGATTGCCAGGCCTTTCTTCCAAGGTGCCTCTGGGTGGACTCGAACCATCAACCTTTTGGTTAGCAGCACAGGTGTTAACTGTTTGCACCACCCAGGGACTCCTGTCCTTGGTGAGACCTCTATAGGTTTATTTAAGATTAATTTGAGGATGCATAAAACACCCATCTCACTCCTAAACGGCCTTTTCCTCCTAAAGGTCAGGAAAAAGAGTAAGCTCTGGAGGCAGTCTAATCCCAGACAATTTTAATACCATCTTTGCCACTGTGCTGGTTATTATTTTTTTGTCCCTCCATGTCCATTCTCTGACCTTTCTTTGACCTGCTCTGTGTGCAGGCAAGGCTGACCATTCCCGACTGCATTACTCCAGCTCCTGTGTTCTCTAGAGGCTGCAGGTTGGGTTAGGGAAGTCACTGGGAGGAGATCAGAGGGTACTAGGAAAGAAAGTTAAGAGTATTTACCACTCCCTCCTCACCTTCCACCATCCTAGCCATAGTAGGGTGATCAACTCATCCCAGTTTGCCTAGGACTTCCCTAGTTTTAGCACCATAGGTCCCCACATCCCAGCAACCCACTCCATCCCCGGCAAAATGGATGGTTGGTTACTCTATCCACTGGCTTCTTATTCCAGGTGTCCACCTTTAGCTGGATTTGGGTAATGGCTCCCTCTACTCATCTTCACCTCCCATTCATTCATCGCACGGTAAAATGCTTTCTACCCTCACACCCACCGATAAGATCCCACCATCCATCATCTTCTCCTCTCATGACCCACTCTATCCACCTTTTCACCCACTTTACTATTAATTTCTACACTGGTGATTCCAAAATATACATCTACAGATCTATAGCATTCCTCCCTCATGTTTGCAGGGCTAGCACTTTTTGAGGGCTGGCTTTATGCCAGAAACAGTTGTAAGAATTTTGCAAGTATTAGGTAATATTCAGAGTAACTTTGTAAGGCAGGTAAATTATTATCTCCATTTTATCAGATGAAGGAAACTAAACTTTTAAAAGTGTAGTAACGGGTGGAGCCAGTCTTCACACCCTGCTCTTTCTGACTTCAGATCTCAGACTCCTCAGAGAGACCTTGCTTAAGTACTCTGCATTCTCTCTCCTTCCTTTGTTTTGGTTTCCCCAAAAACACTTACCTCTGCCTGAAATTTTATTTATATCCATTTGTTTATTGTTGCTCCAAGAGGACAGGCACTTTGTTTTCTTTACTACCCTATTCTCACTATCTAGAACATTCGTTCTCAAACTTAAGCATGCATCAGAATGATCTGAAGGGCTTCTTAAAACATAGATTGCTGAACCCCACCCCCCAGAGTTTCTGATTCAGTAGATCCAAGTGGGGTCCAAGAAGGTACATTTCTGACAAATTCCCAGGTGTTGCTGATGCTGCTGGTCTAGAGACCACACTTTGAGAACCAAGGGCCTAGAATATTCCTGCCTCATGCTAGGGGAATCAATACCTATTTGTTGAATTAATTTAATTAACGTGTTTGACAACTATTTATTCTTCCTGAACTCCCTCTAGAAATGAATAAATCATATAATACTGTTTGTGTCATGCTAAAGTGGGCCTGTATCTGGAATTAGCAGCCTGTATTCTGAATTTTGGCAAACAATACCATAATCTATTCACTTGCCCATCCGGAAACCTGGAAGTCACCCTTGACTCCTCTCTGTCCGTTTTCCCTCAAAGGTTGGTTGTCCAACAAGCCCTGCCTGTGAAGTTAAGATATGGCAGCAAGGGAAAGATCTGGAGTATTCACTTTAGCTGTCCTATAGATGGCTCTGTGTCCTTGTTGTTGTTGTTAGGTGCCGTCCAGGCAGTTCTGACTCATAGCAACCCTATGTACAACAGAATGAAACACTGCCTGGTCCTGTGCACCTCTGTGACCTTAGGTAAGTCATTTAGCTTCTAAGAGCCTTGTTTTCATCATTTATAACTAGAAACTATTGGATCAGATCATGATTCTCAAATAATGCTCTTAATCTGGTCATATAAATAAGGAAACGTTTTCATTGGTAGGAGCTATCTTATATCACATAAAATCAATATTAAAATGAAATTATAACATGAAAATATACTCAATGTCATTAGCCATCAGAGAAATACAAATCAAAACCACAATCAGATACCATTTCACTCCCGCTAGGATGGCTAAGATAAAAAACAAAAAAAAAGCCCTGAAAATAGCAAATGTTAGAGGGAATGTGGAGAAATAGGAACCCTGATCTATTGCTGATGGGAATGCAAAATGGTACAACTATTGTGGAAAACAGTCTGGCGGTTCCTCAAAAAGCTAGAGGTAGAGATGCCACATGACCTAGCAATTCTATTCCAAGATGTATACCCTAGGGATCTAATAGAGGTGACACGAACAAACGTATGTTCATTGCAGCAATACTCACAATAGCAAAAAGATTATGTCTTAGTTATCTAGAGCTGCTATAACAAAAATACTACAAGTGGTGGCTTTAACAAACAGAAATTTATTTTCTCACAGTTGGGAGCCTGGAAGTCCAAATTCAGGACTCCAGCTCTAGGGGAAGTCTTTCTTTCTCTGTCGGCTCTGGGAGAAGGTCCTTGTCTCTTCAGCTTCTATTCCTTGGTTGCTTGGTGATCTTCATGTGGTGTGGCATATATCTTCCCCTGTCTTTCCTTGCTCACTGCTTGTTTAATCTCTTTTATATCTCAGAATAGATTGACTTAAGACACATCCTACAGTAATACTGTTCATTAACCTAACAAAGAAAACCCATCCCAAATGAGATTATAACCAGAGGTAAAGGGGTTAGGATTTACAACACATATTTTTGGGGACACAATTTAATCCATAACAGATGGAAATAAACTAAGTGCCCATCACCAGATGAATGGATAAGTAAAATGTGGTACATATATATGATGGAATACTATTCAGTGATAAAGAAAAACGAGTTCCTGAAACATCTTACAATGTGGGTGAACCTGGAGGACATTATGTTGAGCAAAATAAGTCAATCACAAAAAAACAAATATTATATGTTCTCACTTTTATGAAATGACATGAATAGGTAAATACACAGAAACTAATGTTCATTAGTGATTACCAGGGGCTGGGGGTGAGGGGTGAGGGAGAGGTACTCTTTAGATAGTAGTCACTTACTGTTTTTAGAAATGGGAAGGGTGGCACTGAATATGGGTGAAGTTTGCACAGCATGACTGATGTAACTGATGTCAATAAGCTATACATAGGGAAAAGGGATGAATGGGCAAATGCTAGCCTGTGTGTGAGTTTGCAATAATAACAAAAACCAAAATGAGGGGGGTGCTACAGATGCACATACTAATTAGATATAACCAATCACCTCATGGAAGTAGTTCTCTTGACTTGGGGATTTAGGGCTGTGGTCTCATGGGACAATCCAGTCAACTGACATAGTTCTTAAAGTTTATGTTCTACCTTCCAATAGTGTCTGGGGTCTTAAAAGCTTATGAGTGGCCATCTAAGATATAACTATTAGTCTTTATTTGTCTGGAAAAAAAGAGAAAGAAGGAAACTCAAGAATCAAAGAAGGTACAATGCAATCCCAATCCAAATACCAACAACATTCTTCAAAGAGATGGAAAAACTAATCATTAACTTTATATGGAAAGGGAAGAAGCCCCGAATAAGTAAAGCACTACTGAAG